TCGTTTCGCTTACGTCGAGATAGCGCGAAACTGCCCCTCGTTTGAATGCCTCGATTACTTCTTAGCCACTTAAAAATTGTTTAAACTATTACAAAAAGTTGTAAACGAAAAACTTTAAACACTTGAAAATGAAACTAGAAAATGGTCTGTTGTTTAAGACACTGCAACGTGTTACGAAATATAACGGTACGGTCTGTTTTTGGGACAATTATTGTTGTTGTTAATTCCATTTATCGTTTTCTTTAATTAAAAGCTCATATTTATTAACCCGATCAAATATTATTATAAACAATTACTCTTTACATTATATTCTTTTAACATTTGTATCTAAAATAGTCATTCACGTTAATTAAGATTGATTACTATTGAATACAAATGATTTTCAAAATTATCTGTTACCTACAAGTAGAGAAAGTGGAGAGGAACAAAGGGAACTGGGTATGAAAAATTGAAGATTTTTATTATAGAGCTGCATCCACGTTCAAGAGTTTGATGGCTCTGAAAAGAGCCGTTTGTTTGCTAATTTCATGACTCGCGAATCAGCAATATTTCGCGAGGGAGAATTACGCGAGTAAACGAGCGACGAGCATTCATAACAACCTGTTGCTCAGGCCTACGCTACGATTTCATTCACTTTTATCAGATCGGTGTAACAACAAATTATTCGGCGGTGGTGGGAAACATTTTTCATCTGTCACGAATGATTTACATACACTCCTTTCCTTTTTCGTTTTTTGCTTGTGTATCTAATAAAAGAGTTCCTACGTTTGATAAAAAATTAATAACTTCCAAAACACAATTAGTATGCAATCGAAGGACTGGAACCTAGAAGAACAGTGTCAAACAAACAAAACATGATACCGCAAGCAAAATCGTTCGAGATGTTTGGTGTTTGCACATGTCGCTCGTTCGATGACCAGTAAATGTGTAACTGCGTAGCATAAAAAAAATAAAACGCAGACAATGCGCGAGTGCCATTGACTCGCGAAAATTCTCTGTTTCTTGGACCCCCCCCCCCCCCCCCCCCCCCCCCCCTTCGCCACCACCACCACCCCACTACCGCGGAAACAGAAGCTATATTAACGGGAGGGTGCAGAGTAATCAATCAATCGATCTGTTGAATATGGATCTAAAATTATCTCATACGCAGCGAGTACGAATAGTTACATTATACTCGGACGCGGGGTGGACTATTCAGCAAATAGCTGAGAGGGTGGGGTGTAGCTCCACAACTGTGCGTCGGTGGATTAGGAGATGGCAGGAAGAAGGAGAAGAAGGGCTTGAAAGTCGCTATGGACCACGACAGGTGTCGAAGAGGACTACCGCCGAACAGGACACAGCACTCGTCGGCCAAATTGCTGAAGATCCCTTTCTTCCGGCGACAGAAGCCAGGAATAATCTTGGTTTGCCGATTTCCGCGTCGACCGCTAGACGCCGCCTCCACGAAGCAGGTTCAAGGTGCTATCGGTCGGCGCGAAAAATGGCTTTAACACAACAGCTCCGCGAAGCCCGTGTGGGCTTCGCGTTGCAAGAGTTGACGACGTCGCCGGAAGAATGGGATCGCACAATTTGGACCGACGAGAAGGTGTTCTCCTCGGCACCTGATCGTCGAGTCCACGGATGGCGACCGCCAAACCAGCGGCTTGATCCGGAGTATGTCGTCCACAGCGATCGACAAGGTCGAGTCAAGTGCGCGATGTGGGGGTGGATCACCTCAAACTCGCTTGGAGAATTGATCGAGGTGTCGTCCAAAACGAACTCTGAGGAATACATTGAAATTTTTGAAGACTTTTTCCTCCCGAGTCTTCGCGCGATGTATTCCGAGGAGGACATGCCCACCTTTCGATTCGTCCAAGACAAGAGTGCGGTGCACACCTCCCGCATCGTGCAGCACTGGTTCGACCAACATCCGGAGATCATTGTCCTCGATTGGCCGGCGAAGTCACCGGACCTCAATCTCATTGAAAATGTTTGGAGTGAGATTGAGAGAAGGTGGCTTCCTGGCCATGAGAGGACGCGGATCTCCTTGGTCAGTCACGCTGTGCGCGTCTGGGAGGAACTCCGGATCAACCCGCACTTCTTCTCCAACTTGCGTAAGTCCATCCCTGATCGACTGACGCAAGTTGTGGAGAATAAAGGGTATTGGACCAAATATTAGATATAGAGATCGTTCAGACTCGGCGGGAGTATAACTGGCAAGGGGAAGAATTCCCTTTGCCAATTATACTCCCACCGAATCTGAACGATCCTTATCGATCACGTTAAAGGTTCGACAGGTCACCGAGCACGATTTCATGTGGATACATGCGGGGCAGTGACCTCAGAAATGTTAAGACGGCTATAAATTCTTGTAATTCGCACTCTTAATTTTTGTTACGTTTTGTGCCTAATAAATTCTGTTTCTGTCTGTTTCAGCAATGACGATATTATTTTGATGGGCGAAGTACGCTCGGTGTAGTGCTCCACAGAGATCCACCCCGCGTCCTTGTGACGAATCCGTGACACGAAATCACCAAACTGGATTTCCAGTCACGAGAGAGTCACGAAACTAGCAAAGATACGGCTCTTTTCAGAGCCATCAAACTCTTGAACGTGGATGCAGCTCTATAATAAAAATCTTCAATTTTTCATACCCAGTTCCCTTCGTTCCTCTCCACTTTCTCTACTTGTAGGTAACAGATAATTTTGAAAATCATTTGTATTCAATAGTAATCAATCTTAATTAACGTGAATGACTATTTTAGATACAAATGTTAAAAGAATATAATGTAAAGAGTAATTGTTTATAATAATATTTGATCGGGTTAATAAATATGAGCTTTTAATTAAAGAAAACGATAAATGGAATTAACAACAACAATAATTGTCCCAAAAACAGACCGTACCGTTATATTTCGTAACACGTTGCAGTGTCTTAAACAACAGACCATTTTCTAGTTTCATTTTCAAGTGTTTAAAGTTTTTCGTTTACAACTTTTTGTAATAGTTTAAACAATTTTTAAGTGGCTAAGAAGTAATCGAGGCATTCAAACGAGGGGCAGTTTCGCGCTATCTCGACGTAAGCGAAACGACAAGGATGGCATTCGACGAGCCTGGAGTCGGAGTGAAATGGGGCTAAACAAGGACAGAAGTTACAGTGCGAGAGAGAGGCTCTTATGCAGCTTCCGGTTCGGTATGGAATCACGGTCTGCGTTCGCACTTTCGTGCTCCATCCTATAGGGCGGAGGGAGCCACCTTCGCCGTCCGAGGCTCGACGCAATTAATTATTTCGACAACCGAGTTTTTAATGGTGCTGATTATATATTTTACTCGTTGAGGAATGAACCGCCTCACTTCTCCGATTAAGCATTTATTTGAAAAAATTTCTTTTCTCCTGAAATACAAAGGTGTTTCTCATGCGAATGAGGCATAATGGCTGCGCGCTCGCGCGTGACCCGGTGGTAGGGGCACCTTCCCCTTTAGTGCTTTTTCACTAGACGAACGGACACTATGATTGATATTGTACACGCAGATGGTTTAAACTCCGCTCTTAATTTATAACCATCGATACAAAAGGTCCTCGAAGAACATTCGAGACACATCGATACAATAGACTATCGATAAATATTCCCATGTCAATGTCGCCATACCACTCTAGACATATTCACGTAATAACAATTCACGTTATTGAACTTGTCGCAATGAAGTTGGCTACAAATTCACTACGCATTCACGCCGCATCGGCAGTGACTACAGATCTAACAAGACTAAACATGCCTTTGTTCTGGAAGGGTCGTGAATTTGTGCCTCGAGAACGAACGCCATCTGCTCTATCCTAGTACAAAAATATGAAACACTTCGCACTGCAACAGTCTACGACACGTTGACGATAACGGAAAATTGCTTCAATACCAACAGCTATATCTCTTTACTCAGTGTTGCCATATCTCTGAAGAGCAAGAAAGAGAATACGCGTAACGAGATAAAATGAGATGGAATATGTTTAAGGGATGCTGCTTGATCTTTTACTTTGTCGTGTTGGAGTCAACGGATGCGGATGTAGTTTTCACTGTAATTTTTTACTTGAATTGTGTTAAGGCAGGTCTATTCAGATAATCTTTTTCTGTTCAAAAAATAATTTGGTAATTATTGAGATTAGTTTACACCTCACCGAGTTTGATGAAATTTAAATATATCGTAAAACTCAACATTTTGAACAACTTTTTCCTACACATATAACCGCCGCTCGGCCTTAGTTTTCGAGATATTTTCGACAAACTGTCGAAACTAACACATTGAATTTTCCATCCGTGTGTATCCGTGACAACGTACGCATTAGTATGGGATCGCTGCTTTTCTACTGTTTCTGCAGGCAACAGCACGGGGACCGATGACCAATACATACCTTGTGTACTTCTGCATTCATGATTTCAATGTATCGTAGCTATGATGGCAACTGGGAATTTAATATAGCCAAACCTAACCCAATCTACTCTACCTAATCAGTGAATTAAAGGTAAAGTGATATTCTGGTCGCCGTGAGGCGACCAGACACACATACTGACAATTCAAAATTATGAAAATTAGTTAAATTTAATTTTTAAGCCCACCTGTAATATATGTATATATATATATTGATGTCGGTCGCCGTGTTGCTGCCTGCGAAAACAGTAGAAAAGCGGCGATCCCATATTAATGCGTACGTTGTCACGGACACACACGTATGGCCAGAATTCAATGTGTTAGTTTCAACAGTTTTTCGGAAATATCTCGAAAACTAAGGCCGAGCGGCGGTTATGTGTATAGGAAAAACTTGTTCAAAATGTCTAATTTTACATGTTTAAATTTCATCAAAATCCGTGAGGTGTAACCTAATCTCAATAATTACTAATAATTTTAATATCATGCGAAGTTGGTAAATAGTACGTACATATGCGGAAAGATGAAATTTATGCATGTAGTAATAACTAATTATATTTTTTAAATATAATAAGGGATAGGTTGCGGAAAGAAGAGAAATGTATGTTTATAATATTTTTATTTACTGAAAATATTGTGGGAAACAATAATTAAGAGCGGCGTATATCGGTGCCGGCGGGGGAGCGTATACTACTGCCGGCGGGGGAGCGTAGATCGGTGCCGGCTGAGGAGTGTATATTCTGGGGGGATAGTACTGCGGTGGGGGAGGGTATGTATACCCCCCCGGGTATGCGGCTGGTGGTGGTGGGCGTCTTTTCAATGTTAATTTTCGTACTTTTCGTAATGTTTTGTTCATTTCCCGCCTGGCCATCTCCCTGATTTTCTGAAATTCATTTAAAATTACGCGATTAATAAAATACATATACATAAGCCAGAGAAAGGTTTATTACGAAATATATTCATATTCACGTATTATACACATACACACGCACACGCACACACGAAATCTATTTCGACGCATATCGAGAGAAGTACATAGTACATACACTCGTCACTACAGTTATATATATTTAACAATAATGGTACCTTTATTTCCGCCGGTACCTCCGCCCTCGGTGCCTCCGCCACCGGTACCTCCGCTCTCGGTGCCTCCGCCGCCGGTGCCTCCGCCGCCGGTGCCCCCGCCGCCGCATTATTGTCGACCATTTTGAATATCTGTAAAATGAAAGTTATAAATTAAAATAGGATTATTAGAATCCCAAACTCACAGTTCGTTTTAATTACAATCACATTTGCTGAACTGAATACAAGTTTAATTCTTACGTTTTGTATAACGACGTCGATGCTTCGCCTTCGCCTTGTGCTGCTGATCTGTATAATGACGTCGATGCTTCGCTTTCGCCTTCGCCTTGCGCTGCTGATCTTCATCTGCACCATGCGTCTACGAGAAGATGGCATGGGTGAAGGTGAAAGTGGGTATCTATGCTCCACTACCCGATAGTTTTTTCGTAATTGGTCGAATCGCTTGACGAAGATGTCAAATGAATCGGTCAAGTGAGACTGAAACAGTAATATGCGCAGGCTCTCTCTCTCACGCATTCACACTTGTCTCATTCCCTCCACTTCACACTCGCTAGTTTCCTAAAGGCAGAACTTCCTATGTGCGTCGATCGCATGCGGCGGTGTCCGACGGACTAGCTTGTCCGACTTTTTCGACTGAATGCACGCGGTTTAAAAGAATATAGTCGCAAGTCACCGACGCACATAGAAAATACCGCATTTATAATGAATATTAATTAATAGTGGTCTTCCACACCACCTTTGAGGTTCCACTAATGGCGCGTTAGATTTTTTTATAGTGGATCTTCGCCTGGAGCCCTATTATACCACTTCATAAATTGTCAGCCCACGTTAGATCGCCTCTGACTGTATTTGTTATAAATTGTCAGCCCACGTTAGATCGCCTCTGACTGTATTTGTTATAAATTGTCAGCCCACGTTAGATCGCCTCTGACTGTATTTGTTATAACTAGACAAGTAGAAAGGCAGATATTCTGAAAATGAAAACAGTCTTTCACAGATTTTGCAATTTTCGCACCTTTGCGGTTGGCTTGTGAGAAAAATTTTTAGGGCGTCGTAATTCTTGACCGAGCCAGACCGTATCCTTATGAATTTTTACTTTCATCATAAAGTATGCTATTTTTTTCCGATGTTCGTTACACGTATTACTATCAAACCAACCATGAAGCTCAGGTGAATTGTTAACACCTTGTATAAAATAAGGAAATATTTTATCAAGAATACCCTCTTCAGCCCGTAAGGTAGGATATATTTTATTAAAAATAGCATTAAATATCCAGAATGCAAAAGAAAATTTCTTACTAGGGGCTATAAGACTTCCAAAATCGGAATCATTATTTTTTTTCTTGTAGGCACGAAGAAAGATTAAAATCTGTTCATTTCGTGAAAGAACTGTTGTACTATCTAATAATTCTGCCTTGCATATGTCGCAGTTAGTTTTTCTAATGTTTTTCATAGCGACATATCCCGCAAAATATTCAATGGCACACGATTCTAAAGTGTGGGCAGTTTCAGATACTTCTTGCAAGATATCAGCGATGATAGTATCACTTGCATCCTCTGCTTGTGGGCTTTTACGGGTGACTCCAGAATCTCTGATGAATCTGGAGTTACTGCTGTCATAATTAACAAAATCTGACGAATCGCCGGTACTAATTGACGGAACATTTTCCGAAGATTGTGGTAACTTCAAAAGATTAAGATCTTCATCATCTAAACAATTTGCAGATTGCGACGGCTTCATTAAATTTAACATCATATTTTTCTGCAAATTTAATCTAAATGTTTTCGCGGATGGATTTTGTTCATAATTACCCGCGTTATGTCTGATCATAGAAAACAAATTTTCTATTGGATCTTGCTGTAATCGCGACGTCATTAAATATGACGTACCTTCATCGCGAATGTCATGCCACAATTGTATCGTCGCATTAATTGACAGCTGCAAGCCTCTGAAGCACGGAGGACGTACCTGCCGACCCTTTTGAATCACAAACCAATTTGTACATGCTGTTGCCTGTCTTATCAAATTCTCTTCTACTTGAGGATTTTTATTTGATAAGGCACACTTCTGCGGATTAGCATCATGCGCGGTTCGACTGTTTCAATTATCGAATAAATCATTCAACAGTCGAACAAAACATGCAGTATTCACAACAGTATCGCTTTGGATCTGTCCCTGCGTGCTGGCCGTTAACAAAGCTGCCGAAACTGTTCGACTAAACACTTGCAAAGCGAGCCTACAATTCATTCGTTCGAATACATTCGGTCGAATATGCTTTTCTGACAATTTTACAGCTGCCTTAGTGCCTTTCTTTCGTTCAAGGTCCCATAGAGATGATATATCTGACCATGAAACTACAGAATCGTTAATCATCAAATCATACTGCAATAAATTGTTGCAAATGTTTTTAAATATATGCAAATAATCATGAAGAAAATAAATTTTATTTCCTTCATGTATTATATATGGTTTCTCAAGAGATACTTTTCGATCTACTACCGATCTGTTACCAGAACCTTGATCGCAAACAATTGCACGTACGCGTAAACCAGCGCTACAGACAGCAGCAATTACCGCATCAAGCACATTCAACAAGTTTACAGTTGACATGTTGCTGCTACTTATGAAATAAGCAATGGGTTGCTTCCAATTATAAAATAAACCGCGAAGCATGAAAACTAAGGCTTGCGTGCCTGGTTTCATTTCAGACCCAAAAGCACCATAATCTTGGAAGCCTTCAATTTTTTGTTTTTTTGAATGAAAATCAAAGGACTTTTTTATTGTCATTTCGTCGAACAGTAATACGCAATTTCGTTCAGAACTATCCATCCACGATACCTTACTATGTAACTGCGTAAAAAAGGTCGTACAAATGCCCGGCCACATTTCAATGCTTCCAAACCATCTACTAATTGTCATAGCACATGGTAAACGGAAACCGAAATCGTCACGAAGTTTTCGGAATAAACTCGGTGACGAATAGTGCATTGATAGACAAATATGTTGCTCGTCCGCAGAATATACGGGTTGCGGATACAATTGCATTAACATGAACGTCTTTACTTCGTTCGAAACTTTGTCTTTTATATTTCGAACGAAATCTGACTCCGTCATTTCGTACGACTCTATTTTACGTTTTAATGCTAATATTTGTTTATTTTTTCTAGCAAGCAGTTTACGCAATTTCTGCGTTGCTGATTTCAATTGATCAATTTCTTTTTTCTTTGATCTACAAAGGAATTTGGGTGAATGCTTACGACTGTTACACGTAGGCTCTTCATTATCCTCACCCAAATCGTACAAAACCAGTACGGCATCCTTCTTCAATTTCAGTTGCACCACCTTGTCTTTTTCGGCAAAATGCCTTGAACAAATATACCGGTGTTTCAATTGCAGATCGGTTAAATCCGCGAAATCGTCGTTTCCACTATTCACGATCCACTGTATCAACCGATCATTGTCTGCAACTGGGAATGAATGTAATGTCTCAGTTGTTCTGTTACGTGACGTAACACCACAACCGCGATAAACACATTTTTTATATCTAGCGCGCGTATCACGAAATACCATTTTTTGAACACTGAAAGCGGTTACAAATTTGTATATCACACGTTTGCACCGCTTGCATAAGTTCTTTAGACTGACGTGAACTGGAAGAACGTAACGCTAGAAACAAATAAACATAAACTTCTTACATGGTTAGAAAAGGACATCGAATGGAAAAAGGACTGCGGATTGTTACGATCGCGGATTCTCTTTCTTTTTCATTAGCCATCCTTCCCCGTGTTCGATACTTATTATCGTCAACTTGTAAATATAGTCCAAATTATATCGCGTTTGATGTCATTTTAATCAGAAAAATGTTACAAATATCCTGGTAAAAGATTTATAAGATTTAAGTATTAAGATTTCAATTTGTACAGGAGTAGTGACTGTGACAGAGAGAGAGAGGGATTGAACGAAAGAGAGAAATGGCGAGAGTATGAAATGACGAATGGGCGAGTGAATGCATTTGAAATGAAGCGAGTGATAGGTTGGACGAGGAGAGAGCGAGAAGGAATGAGTGAGAGAATGAGAGAGAATAGCGACCAGGCGAATGATGTGTCGGCCTTATCTGGTGCATTATACTTTTGAATAAACTTTATTTTTCTTCGAATTCAACTAAACACTACAACATATTGAAATGTGTAAAGTTTGAGTTTTAAGTTCATATACATATAAGGGGTTGATGGGTCCAGTGCCGCTGTTTGCAGAAACAGTAAGCAAGCGGCCGTCGCACTTGTTGCTACAGACGCATATAAGCAGAATTAACTGTACTAGAAACTCGTCAAAGAAGTAAAAAGTAGTAATTTCGTCCAAAAATATCGCTTTTTTTCAGACACATAATGTATAATACCTATTTTTAATTGCTTTTGTTCATTTCTTAGAATTACTTAATAAATTTATAATTACTTTTGTAATTAATTTATCATTGTCACGAAAGTGTTGCCGGCCGCCTTACAGCGCCCGGATTTAAATATATAACCTAATCCTAACCTAATATATCAATAATATTCATTTTTAATTGAGTTTTAATAGACATTTTTTGGAGTCTCGTATGTGCAGCTGTAAACAGAGCCATTACGTTTCCTAGACTCTCGTTTCTAAACAGAAATGTGCTGTCGCAGAATTCAATGTGTTACTATCGAAAGTTTTTCACGAATATCTCGGAAACTAACTAAGCAGAGCCGCCGTTTATATGTCCAAGGAAAAGTTGTTCAAAATATCGATTTCTATAACATATCCAAAACTCATCTAAATCGAAGAGGAGGTAATTGTAATGCAGGTTCACTGAATTTTATAACATCTAAACATTTCCAAAGTAAAATTACGAATTGATTAAGAATAAAAAATAAAATTGTCCCCGTGGGATTCGAACTCGATCTTCTGGTTGTGACTGTCAGATTACTCGGGACTCGCGTCAGAATACGTGAATTGTTGGTGGAAAGCACCGAAGCGGCAGCGTACACGGATGAAAGCAGATATATGATTGTGTGAACTGCGAACACCAATTGCCATGCATATGGAAACAGATGTGGCAACACTGCAAACGTACTATACATGTATACGTTTCTTCACCTTGGTGTAGTCGATAAGGTAGTTGTGTCATGCATGCTCCAGGGAGGTATGGTAAGAGAAGAATTGATAAAACAGATACAACTGTTATACCAACTGTGGAAACCCAACCTCACCTTGGGGTACCGGGTACTCCAATAATGACGCCCCATCGGTAACATAGGCATGTTTAGTCTTCTTGGATCTGTAGTCACTGGCATCGGTGTCGGTGAGTGAATGCATCAGGCCCTCGAAGCTCCACTCTTGTGAATTTGATGCAAATGTTAACTCACCCCCGGACTTCCAGGCGGCGCTGATGTCGCTTCTCTACATGCATAGTGTTAGAAATTTTAAAAATACAACTGTTAGAGCGGACCGTGCGCACCTCGGCAACGGTATTTCACGGTTACTACGTCACGGGTTTTCCCCGTAAGGACAAAGCGTCATAAACTAGGTAGGAAAAGGGCCATGGTGACGTAGGCGTCCTCACGGCTAACGTTTTGTCTACAGGACACTCTTGTCTTGATCGTGGACGTGTCCACATCGCTGATTAAAGTACAAGTATTAGAACGAAATCCGAGTTCCAGTGTTGATTTAATACGCCCACATTTTGCAATACGATCCTATCCCTCGCATTCTCGTAATTTTCTTACAATAGCTTGTATCACTGATTTTAACATACACAACTAAAGATATCGTGACGTCATGTTCCCGCGAAATTTGTCGCCGCTTTTTCAATTGTTTCAAAATTTAAAGAGACAAAAGAATTATGGCGCACATGGTTGCACATGGTGGCAGCGTGGGTGACTGAATTTCCAGGTTCGTGAATTCCATTATTATAATAATTACTGTTATTATTATTATGACTATTATTATTATTTAAAAAGATATTTTTTAAGTTTTTTCTAGGTTTTTAGGTTTTTAATAACTTCTACTAATGAGATGCAGCAACAGCAGAAGAAGATAGAAATTAAGTAAGTACAGAATTGTTTAAAATTGTTACTGAAAACAGTAACTGTTTACATTGGTGTTTTAGTAATACATGTATTTAATTTTAATTATTAAAATGTATCTTTAAAGAAAGAGCTAATGAAAAGTACTAATGAAAACAGCAGGATGTTCTCCTAAACTCAAGAGAGAAAGGATAAGAAGAGGATGGTGCAGTGGGTGGAAGTATGTGGCAACCCAAAGTCAGTGCTTCCACTTGAAAACAGAATTTCCGGATGACCTGTAACAGCTATTTTGAAGAAAAATACTTCGCGAGAAAAAGATTAACAACATCAGCAGTTCCCGCACTGAACTTACTTGGTAATAACTCTTATATAATTTTTATAGCATATGGAAATAATTGTTAATGAAAATATTTATTACAGTGACTGAGGCTGCCTTTATTAAAATACAGCAACAAGACATCTGGATGCAAATGAAAAGAAGAAAAAGAAGATAATACTTCTAGCATGAAGTGTATGTATAATATTATATAATTTTGTTCTTATAGTTAAACCTGACCACCAGGGGAGTGGAGAACCTGATTTTCGAGACATTTGGTACGTGTGTTTTATTGTACATATGTATGATTGTGATTAATTGTATATTATTATTGATATATATATATTTATTATATTGTAGTAAAAGTTTAATATATGGAAATGTATTATGGAAATTACTCCACATATATTGTTATAATTTTTTCCCTTTCATTATTTTTATTTTTCAAAGTTTTGAATAGGTAAGATTATACACACGTATATAGGGAGCATATGCTTGTGTGCGTATCTCACTGATATCATTTGTATGTGTTTGTAGCGACACCAGCGCTGCCTAGAATTCCGGGGGTGAACTAATACGGGAGTTTGGAGCAGTTTGGAGAGCCTGGAATGCATGGCCAAGTTCACTGCGACAAGTTCAATGCAACTTAATGTAATTGCATACAACATAAAGAGTAATCGCATGCGACGAGTAAGGTATAAAAATAAAGTTTAATTAAAAGTGCAAACACGGGTTTACTTTATATACCTCCTGAACGTTCTTCCACAACAGAAATTCAAGACCCCTCGAAAACAAAGGGCATGTCTAGTCTTGTCGGATTGGATCTGTAGTCATTGGTATCGACCACTATGGAAGTTACTATTTTATTGTGTTGCGTGAAATTTAGCTGAACTTGTAATGAATTTAACTATTTTTACCTAATTAAATAGTACTCGTGATTATGTATTCTTAATATAACTGATACAGAATTTTGTAATTTTTTATGGCTATGATTATTAAGAACTTCAATAGACAGGAAAATTTAAAGATAACTTGCACTTAACCTAACATCTTTAATCGTTGGAAGTGTTTATAATTTTCAGAAATATACACTATTGTGGTATATATAAAGGTACTATTATGTATGAAATTATTAATAATGTATGAGAGTATTGATTTGTGTCATGTACTTACATAGTATACAAATTATACGTTTTATAAAAAGCAATTTTATATACTTTACAATCTTCTTCATAATTTGTTGTTGTTATACAAATTTATAATAATTTTAATATAACTATCTGGAGTAATAATGTAATAAGTCCATTTTTTATAATGTGTAGCAAAGACAGCCAAAATTTGGGCTTTGGGACTTCAGTTTTATCTCTTGTGGCTATGAAAGATCTTTTGTTTTGTATTGCATATTTAACATTCTTATATATCTTTCTTCTAATATTATTAATACACATTAATTAAAAAATCTACATTTATATTATCTTGATATCACAAATATCTTAGATATTAATGTAATATATTTATTTTTGTTATCATCAGGCCATAATCCGAACTAGTAACAGGTTCAATTTTTCAATGTTGTTCCTGTCTAATTTCGGAGCCAACCAGCTAAACTATACAGTGAACTGTGTCAACTCTCTTCTACAGTATATTCTGACAATATAAAATATTATACAATACGTACTCATGGATATATAATAGGCCCCAAACTGCTAACACTAATGCAAATGTCCAATTTTCGTTGCCATTTTCAAAGTGGTTTCAAATTGATTGGACTTTGGCCTCATTGGTGAAAGTGGTGTGGCCATACGACGCGCTTGATATTATTTAATCCATGAGTTATTGCATATGAAGATTGCGTTCAAGTTTAAACTATAACTTCTGTCATAACAATATTAAAAAAATTAATTATCCACTGTTATACATGAATGCATTAAAGATTTTATCAAATATAACAATTACAGTATAAAACATTTGTTATAATTTAAATATTATATATTTTAACTGTTAGATCATACAGTATTTTAGCAGATACCTTGTTGTACGTATAGTGGACATGGATAAAGAAGTTCCTGAAGAAATGCCTGAATCAAGCATGATGTCCCAAGTTACAACTGTTTTGAATGATCAACAGAGCATATTGGAAGTAAATATTGATAACCATAGTAAAACATCTAATAAAAGTCATTGTAGCGACATGACGGAAGAAGATATCGTATCTGCAGATGATACAAATATATATAATGGTTCTACCACCGAAGATTGCATTACGGAGTCAAATGCAGATAGTATCGCAGCTACAGATGATTTAAGACAGTTTGATGTTCTGGATGATTTAGAACGACATCCGGATCAAAATTGCTCTGATATGGATTCGGATACAAATGAAAGTATGGATTCTGATGTACCTGATGAAGAAATCGAAGCCATGCTTGAAGAAGGTAAATTTTAATGTTAAAAAATGTTCATTTATTTATGCTTTTATGTAAAGTATAAAATATAACAATCAAGTACAGTTGAATTAATATGATAAAAATTTATAAGAATGTATTTAAGGTTTCAAATAAATTGGTATGAAACTTTCACATAAAGGGTTAAATAATGTAAAAAGACATAAGATTACTTGTTTTTTCTCTTTTTGTACTTCTCATATAGATCATGCAGCTGCTGAGCACTTTTTTTAGTTAAGTATTGTATGCTACTGTTAGGTTTACCAGAAGAATTTAAAGGCAAAAGAAAAGACAAAAAGGATAGTGTACCATATGAAGAAAAAGAAAAATTGGTCTTGGATGGTAAGTATTTAAATTATTTAAATGTTAATTACATTATTATAGACACAAAGATATCAAATGTATAATGTGATTTTTTTTAGAAATTGGACACAATCATTTTGACGTACTCCCAGAAGGTTGGGTACAGGTAACTCATAACAGTGGAATGCCTTTGTATTTGCATAAACAAAGCAGAGTTTGTACTCTTGCAAAACCATATTTTCTTGGACCTGGGAGTGTAAGAAAACATGAAGTGCCTGTTAGCGCGATACCTTGCCTTCAATATAAAAGAGCTCTTCACGAGGAAGAGGAAGAAAGGAAAAAGCAGAAGGAACGAGATCCAAATGCAGAAGTTTGTAGTCTTCCTAGTGCAAAAATAGAAACAATTCAAGAAAATCGAGCAGCTCATTCGTTAGACAGTGAGCAACTGCGAAATTATTGTCAATCACTTTTCCGTTTCAAAGCTATCAAAGTAATGAGGTTTCAGTAAGTACACATCAAATAATATTAAATACACGTTAATTTTTTAAAGTATTAGTTAGTGTGATTTATTATTTAGATCATGGTCAGCCAGAAGAAAATTTACAAAAAATAAAAAACATCGTAAGCAATTGGAAAGACCCACTTTACCTGATGGAACTAAATTAATAACGTTTCCAGTTAGTAGTTCTAATCTAGCAGGAAGTAGTGGCAGTGCAACTGGAGATGACAATAGCGGACAAAGACCACCAAAGCATTGGATAATGAATCCCTCGGGTAAAAGTTATGTTTGTATACTTCATGAATATGTACAACATGCTCTTAAGAAACAGCCAACTTATAAATTTAAAGAATTAGGTAAGTTAGATAAAAGAATATGACAACAAAGGTAAATTTTCACTATAGTAATCAACGTGTTAAGATAAAGAGATGTTCATGAAATTGAATGATTAATTTCAGAAAATGCTGCAACACCATATTCTGCTGTTGTTTGTATTAATGATATGGAGTATGGAAGTGGTTTTGGTAGCAGCAAGAAACAAGCTAAAGCAAATGCTGCACGAAAAACCCTTGAAATATTAATTCCTCAAATGAGAGATAAGATTTCTGGTGATAACGGTGGAGATACAGCTTCCGGTAATAACAGTCGTATGATCAAAGCATCCAGAGCTAATTCTGATGCAGATTTATCATTCTTTGATGAAATATCCATTACCGATCCTCGAGTAGCAGAATTTTGCGCAAAAACAACCGAACCATCGCCGCATGCTATTTTAATAACTTGTCTTCAACGAAATTATGGTCTCGGTGACATGCATATTAATTATTCGGTGAATACATTAAAACATCAACGTAATGAATTCACAATGCGTGTTGGGAAACATGAAGCTACTGTTGTAAGTAGAATTATAACTTCTGTGTTTACTTCTAAGTTTATTTATAAGAATGATACATTTAGAAAAAATTATAATTTTAGGTATGTCGTAATAAAAAAGACGGCAAACAACGAGCGGCACAAGCTATTTTGCAACTTATGCATCCTCATATTCAATCTTGGGGTTCCTTACTGAGACTGTACGGATCTCGAAGCGTAAAGTCTTTCAAAGAAAAGAAACAACTGGAACAAGAAATAACGTTGTTACAAGGTAAAGCTGCGGTAAACCAGCCAAATCATGCCATTTTAAGTAAACTTAGACAAGAAATGCGAAAATTAGCTGAACAAAGACAAGCAATACAACCTATTGGTAAGTTTGTACCACCAGATTTACCAACTGGATCTGCAGCTAACTTAAACAACGTGGATTTATAACATACTAGTCGGCTGTACATTTTATTTTTAAACAGAAACTATACTTTGATCATTTGTTACAGTAAAGAGAAAAATAATTCTTAAATCATGCTGATTCTTGTACTATTACTCTTTTAATATTTTAATACTTTTAAAATGAATGTTGTATAAGCAGTTATTAATGATCTAATCTGATGCTGGTGCGAAATAAATGGAAATTAATTCTTTGAGCTGTAAATTGAAAAAAATTGAAATTTATCTGAACATGAGTTATACAATATTTGCAAATGAGACCGTGTACTTGTAGGATGTTCGGTTACGGGTGTGTATCCTTTGAGAAGGTGGTAGTTTGGGTCATTCTGAACAATTCTTTCCTTTACTAAAGTACTCATTAAGATTTAGTTTTTGAATTATTAATAAAAAACCCCAACCAATCAGAGTGCGCATAGTGCACAAACTATTGGGCATCTCGTCAAACTGGATTGGTAACCGACGCTCCCGCGGCCACCCCTGCTCTGCGCACTATGCACGTTCTGATTGCTCAGTGTTTTTAATTAATAATTAAAAAATTAAGCCTTAATGAGCATTTTGGTAAAACAAAAAATTGCTCAGAATCACCCGAACTACCGCCCCCTTAAAGAATGCTCACCCCTAGCCGAACACCCTGTACATATTCTTAAAAATAAAGAAGACATTAATAGTACATTTCAACAGTTACTAATTATTATATACGAAACATTTTATATATGATTATTGAACAAATAGTAATTTATAGAACATAATCGTTTATTTCCAAACAATTAATTACAGTTTCATAAATATTAAGGCATAAAACTTGCATATTATCAACAATTATAATATATCGGGGAAGTATTACAATTCTAATAAAATTACTAATAGACTTAATAGAATATACATAAATTGTTCGGTTATACATAAACTAATTGTTTCATATTAAATTGTTTAATTAACCATGTGTTCTCACTTTCTTTGGCACTGGTATACAATTTTTTCGTGATATTACTATTTATGATATTTTGCTAATTACTAATATTCAACAATGTAAAAACAGGATTAATACAAATATTGAATTATACTTTTTTAAAGCTTGATCTTTGATATCTGTTCAAAAAGATAACATTGTATATACTTTTAAGGTAATTGAAAGTGGTTTCTTATTACTTTATACCGATTACGTGATGTTTCAGTAAAAAATACAAACATTGATGTTCATCATTTATGTACTCTAAACTGTAGATCTCGTGCTCTCAATACAGCACATATTATATCTAAGTTAAACTATCATTTGTTTAATAGTATGTTACATGATAAATGTTTTTATATAAATGCATTTAATATTATAAATTATTCACTTATACTATACATAATAATAATGTGTTTAAATGTATGGAATACAGAAACTATATTTGATTTTATCTTTCTTATATTTTAAAGATCATTACATTCTGGAATTATATAAAAGCTCTAAATAAACCTAACGATTATTAAATACTTCACATGTGTTTAAATTTTACTGATAATTTATAACTGTGTTGTATCTTAGGCAATGTTGATACTTCTTTTTTTTACTGATTTCTTTTAAAAAAATTCATTAGTTTAATACAAGATGAATGAGTTTATTTAGTAGGCACATTTTAATAGGACCAGAATTATAATTTTAACAAAATATAACCTACCAATAATTAACTCAAGTTATAACATTCTTTTCTATTAGTAATTATCATCTATGCAAGTGTCAATGTTGATGATAAAATTGTTTGAAAATTTTCATCATTTTAGTTCATGAAGTAATATGATAAATTACTACTATCAATGTGGTTTGTTAATTGGATATGATCTTTTTTAGTATTATGCAATTTTCATGTTAACATTACTATCATCGTTTGTTATATTGTATATATGTGTAAATTAGCATTTCTTTTTTTGAGTATCTTTAATACATTGCTATGTTGCATACATCTGGATTTGTAATTTTTGAATATTATATACAGTTTATATAAATACAATATTTACTTTTCACACTATCATTCAATGCCACAACGTATAAAAGTAAAATTATTAAAGAATAATACAATTATTTAAAAATTAAATGTTTGTGATACTGAAATTTGTTGCGAAAGATAAAAAAACGTATCATTTAAATACATTTAAATTTTAATTAAAAAAACAATTTATATATACACTAATTCGAATTATATTAAAATATAGTTAAAGTTGTCAGCATAAAAATAAAAATAAGAATAAAAATATTGAAATATAAATATTTCATAAGCCAATGAAATATTTATTATGTTGTGTATTTTGTATGTTATAATTTGTTATGTATTTTGTTATAACATTGAGTAATTAAATTCAACACATTATTTATTAGTACATTATAAAAGACACTTAATTCATACACTTATTATAAAATAAATGCAAAATCAAAATATAAAAAATATCTATTAAAAAAGCATAATTAATTTGAAAACTAAGGAAGTTCTGTAACTTCCTTTAATGTCATTATTTTTACGGTACAAATTATATTAATTTATAACAATCATGCAAAAAATGTACGAAAGTAAAGAGATATTACTACATGTACTATTATCAATACTTTTTAACTTTTCAGGCACGTCAATACAATTTTCAACATAAAAAGATGTATATGTATTTAATTATTTTAGACTCTTTAAGTAGATATATGTTAATTTTGTACACATGTGAATATTTTGTGTTTGTCAAATGTCTATATTTATATTAGCAACTTATTTTATTCTAATTAATAACTGTTTTTAAAATAAGGAATTATTTAAAAATAACTTACTACATATTATTATCAAGAAACCGAATGCTATTGAATAAATATAATAACATTATACTCAAGGTATTTTTATAAGATTCTGAAAGTCATTTGGTTGTTTGTTAAAAAAGTCATTATACAGACTCGTCGCATGTACTATTTCCAGACAGGGCCATTTTTGATAGACTAGAGAGACTTCTACGCGGACTACTACCAACTAAAAAACTACTGCTAGGCTCCGAGAAAATTTTCCGGAAACTGGAAATTAAACGTTATTATTAAACATTGAAACCTGTAATATTCTCTACTTGAACAACTTACAATTTACGAATTCCAGATTCAGATGCCTTTTTCCAGGGTGCATCATCTGGTTCATAAGGAAGAGGGCCTTGAACTGGTGCATCTTTGTAATCTTCTACCCTAGAAGATCACATTTAAAAAATATTATTCAACAAAATACATGGATGAAAATATTATTTTACAAGGAAGATACATACGTTTCAGGTTTTGGTCGATACAACTCTAGTTCATCTTCCAAATCTGAAACTCTGGCTTTCAGTTCATTTCGTTCATGTAAAATTTCTTTCAATTCAGCAGTGGTAAATCTTGGTCTATCAGGATCGTCCAAATCATAAACGGCTTTGTTCGTTAAATCTGGATAACCCTGCAATTTACTTAAATCTTCATTTTCTTTTCTTGCTAAACCAAGACGAGCTCGAAGATTGATCAGTTCACGATTCTGATCTTGTAATTGCGCCAAAAAGTCTGCTCTTTCTTCTACCAAGCCTCGTGCTTGCATTTGCGCTTGACGTTGCTTTCGCTTTAATTCTCGGCCGACGACTCCAAATTTTTCAACTTGTGTCGTCAGCTGTATAAATATAAAACGAAATTAGAATAAAATGTATATTACCATTGCTCATATGTAACAAAATAAATGTTATGAAAATAGAAACTAGTAATAATGTATTAAATCATGTTACATAAGCAATATTTGATCACAATTTATATTTCCACAAATTACATACGAACATAGGTACCAATTTACATTTTCTATCTCCATATTTTTTTGTAGCAGCTCTTTATCTCTTGCACGAATTTGATCTCTTTGTTTATCTATCATAGATCTTAGGTGTTGTAATACTGCTACATCAACTTCTTGACTAGCTGTAAAAGCTAAAAATATATTACTGTAACTAACGATGTATAAACATATATAATGCAATATTCTTTGGCATTGTGTTAGTAGGTAAAAGACAGGGTGTTAGTACTTTGTTTACTGCTGTACTGACTGTCACTACGCGATTCTTGCAGAGCTTCTGCTAATCTCCTATTTTCTTCCTGCAATCTTGTAACCATTCCCACTAAATCTCGAGATTCCTGACGCCAATGTTCTTCAATTTGTTCCAGTTCCTATGCAATAAGTTAATATTACTAAATAAAAGAAAGATTTATAATTTAAGTGTCAATTGAACTTGTATGTAACTGTTTAAAATGAAATACCTTTTCAAATCTTTGTCTGTCTTCAGCTTTCCCAATTTTATCATTTTCCAATTGGGAAATTTTTGCTCGTAACTCTTGAACTGTTGTATTTTCACGTTCATTTTTAGTTGCTAAATTTTCTAGTAATTCTAATGCATGTATCACTTTTGGCATAAGATTAGTTACAGATTCTACTCCATATAAGTCTATTAATTTTTCGCATTCCTTTCCTATTTCTGAGGCAATGTCATAAACATCTACAACCGATATGTCTGATACTACAGCATATTCCTCCATATTTTGGGTTGAATAACTTCCCAAACAAAAAGGCATGAATATTTCTTATATTGGAGTTTGCATATGAACCTGTTAACAATAATAATTATATTATTTATCTTATAATTCATTCATCAATATATTTGATTAATTTTAATACATAAAGTATTTTAAGTTCAATTGAATGAAAGATTTAATGTGTTATATACAGTATATAAAGCAGTAATAAAATTATATAAAGCCAAATCAAATATAAAGAAAGATGTAAGTTTACTCATAATATATAATTACAAAAATTTAAATATTTCAAGTCAAATGGTATTAATATAATACGTGGTTAAAGTACTTTTTCTAATTAATCTAGATGTGGCATTATTTAATAAATAACAGAAATATTAACAATAAAAAAGTATACACTGATACAATTAACATATTTGAAAGTATGAGATCACGTCGATTAATCACGGTTACAGTGCTTATGTTAATCTAGCATATACTACATAATATCGCAAATACCAAATTTTGCATTTAACATACGTTCTTATGTATATGTACAGACGATTACTTTTGTCATGTGCACTAAATACTAGTAGACGGACTAAAATTAAATATAAAAACAGTTTAACAATTGACAAGCTAGTGACTCTTGGTTAAGACTAGTCCCTTTTTTCTACTACTGCAATTTTCATAAACTGCAGCTTTTGTCAAATGTTGATGGAAGGAGCACGGTGATTGGATCTTTCCGATCGAACGAATTTAAATTTATTCTTTTTATTAATGATTAACATTTGTAATAATAGCTAAGATGACTTTTTGGTAAGAAACTAGATTAAAAACTACAACATAAAGTAATTGAATTAAATAGAAATTGTTAACTTTGATACAATAATAATTTCTTTTTTTAAATAAAAAGTATAAAATTTACACATATAAGGATATAACATTTATTTAAAATTTTTTTCTGTTAAAAACTACAGCAATTAAATGTTTATGTATTGCTTTTATTAAAACATCTTCTATGTAACATAATAATATACATTCTATTTTATATTACATTTTTGATGTACTTTAATTTATATACACATAAAATTTTATATAATACAATTTTTATAATAATAAGTCCCTAATAACGAAATCAATGTTAATAAATGAAAACTTATTTAGTAATTAAAATAAATTTGTAAATTATGTACTTTACTATAATATATTGCAACGTTATTTTATAACAAAATAGAGCATACCTTTAAATAAACATAAACGTATATAGGTAACTTCAATTAATGGTAAAGTAAAATAAAAGTGTTGTTAGAATAATAATAAATATTAAATAATGTTATCTTCAATAAAATACCAAGCAATAGTCCTGTTTGAAAATATTACATGTGTTTAATAAAATATGTTAAACGGTGAAATTTTCTAAAATATTGAAAATTCATATTTGTGTAGATAGAGGTAAAATATTCTTATTATGCTGATACAAAATTTTGACAGCTTTTAATTAAATATGATATAATTTAATATGTTTAAAACAGAAGCAAAGTTTTAACTGTCATAACTTCAAATAATAAAGACAACTTGGTGAGAGCCTAGTTTAATATCACATTGTGGCAAGTAGTTTTACGTTAATAGAAATTTTTAAAGTGATCAAAAAATATGTTGTTGTACAAAGATAAACGCAATACATGGTTACAATATTTTGTGACATATACTTTGCACTTTTACTATTATTCATTCACCTTTTTTAATTAGCACAATATATTAAAAATTGCACTGATTTGTTAACACTTATTTCAGTGTTTATTAACAAAAATTGAGCTGAAACATTTCATGCACTGATTATTATGCTTTGATATGTTATTTACACGTATAATAGACAAATATTTTGTAATTGTACAATAATATTTTAGTATTGGCAAGTATTGACTTTTGTTGAGTTTGTAACAAAATTATAATGTAAATAGTAGAGCTAATGTTTTACTTTAAACGTCGTAAACCTTATGTTTTATGTTAAACATATTAAATATTGCAAAATAAATTGGAGTGCCGACACGTTTCATTGGAACCAAATTATACAATAACATATTTGTTGTTTTCCAATTATATGTAATATAGCAACAGTAAAATTAAGAATATGAAAGGAAAATATCATGAAACGTATCCTACATTAATTTCTGTCAGCTGATACTTTCATTTCTTGTCAAAGTTATTAAAAAATTGATTTGCTATCATTATACCTATATAATATTTTGTGCTACTATGTTAATAGTATATTTCTGGTATCATTGGAAAGTAGTTTTTCAAGTAAAAATAAGTCGAAAGTGCAAAGTACAAGTTTTACAATATCACTTATTGTTAGACAAATAAAATGCGAACAAAACTTTATTCTTTAAGACTATATGATCAAATTAAGCATACATTAATTTGCTATTATCTACCAAATATTTATTTATCAAATCTTTAATTATCAACACTAACATTTTAATTACTTTTTGTATACAGTTTAGTTACTATAGTTTTATAAATGAAATTTAATTAATATGATTTCATAATAATATCATTCCGATAGCTCTTCGAATAATTAATAAGATTTAGATATTATCTCTTGAAAGTTATTATTCATAATAGTCGTATGGACAATATTTATAAATTTAATAACAACATCATTTAGTAAAATTACAAAACTGATGTTTGTAAAATTAAATTTTGTGTAAAAAAAATTATCTCGCATTTTCGACTTATTTTTTTATATGAGTTATTCCTTGCCAATTGTGTAATAACTTTGTTCACCTAGAGATACAAAAGTTATTATATTTATAAAAGCATACAGTATCAAGAATTATGGATACCAATAATAACTTTTTTGCAGTTGAAAACATAAAAAATTTCAAACTCATACTTTTTTATCCTGGGTAGAGCAACATTTGTTTGAACGGTTTCAAAGAAAATGATTCTGAAATTTCTAATACCTTTCTATGGATGAAAAAGATTATCACTGACATATTATGACTCCGTGAAACTTTTATAAATATTTCATCTTGTATATTAGCTGGTAATTACGTAACATCGCTCATACATTAAATTAAGTACAATGAAGAGGAGCTACGTATTTATCATATATGTATTATGTATTGCAATTTAACGTATAAGAATTGTAAACTTTACATACCTATATACGGTATTCATATTTATTTCTATATAGACGGAAACTATTTGTGGTTTAAAAAGTTTAGGGTGAAGATTATTCAACTAATTAGACTGTTTTTCTTTTTTAATTTGTTGGATAACTATTGCAACTACTAAGTTATCAAGGCTGATGGTGAATATTTCTTCCCTAAATTTCTTAAACTCTGAATAGCTGCTGCCTACAGATGAATTAATGAATTAATTTAAATTAATTCATCATGGAAATTATTTTATAATTAAGTTGTAAAAAGCATTTGGAACAATTTCCAAAATGTTAGTATACAGTAGCGCATTACACGAATAACTTGGCACGTTTTCCTGTTTATTTATAACTTGTTATTTATAGTATTGAATTGTTGTGTATGATCGATTACAGTTTGAAACAAACTCATTCAATTTTTAAAATATTTCATAAAATTGTTAATAATATGTGCACATTATATAGGAAATTGCTCTAAATGTCAGTCTTCGTAACAATATTCAGCCGATATCATTTAAATACTATAAATTAAATTAGTACTTTAAAAGCGCTTAATAAATAAATATATTTTTATATATATTCTTTTGTTAACACGTGTCAACGTAACGTGATTAATATTTAAAATCGATAACATCAACGGAAACATATAAATCTACAGCCTTAAAGGCTAGTTTCTTAATTTGTCATATTTACAGTTATCAAATAAAATAGCGTTATTATTATTTGTGTGTGTGTGTGTGTGTGTGTGTTGCAGCAATACACTCTATATTGTTTTTACATTTTGTTAGATATGACTTGAAATGAACAGTATAATTCTATAGTTTATTATATGAAAGTCTAATATTATATCACATATTTATTAAAATCCTGTAAAAGGAAGAAAATATTCTGGATAATATTGTTTTATCATTAATTGAAGGTTAATTTGTGAATTTTAGTTAGTCTTACATGCTAAACTTGAAACTCTAAATTACTTGTAAGAGATATAATGGCATGTTCCTGTGTAATAGCAGCTAGTTCTTTCAGCCATTCGTCTAATATAACTGCACATAAGACCACATTTTGTGCTGGACTTATTTCATTTGGAGATTCCCAGGACGTTTTCGTATAATACCTAAAGAGTTAAGAGTTATTTTTACTTTAATCAAACGAGAATTCATAATGTTTTTACTTTTCTCAGATATAAAATTAGTAGTGTAACTAGAAAATATTTACCGATATCCGGAGCTATGACCAATAGCTTCTAATTGATTTTCTGATACACTAGGCGATTGATTTACATTAATTAAACTACTTGGACCGGAACTACCACTTGATTTTCTAAGCATTTGTGTAAAGGAGGACGTTAAACTCCATCTTTTGTTTTCGCCTATGAAACACAATTCATTAAATATAATTTTAGAGTGTACCAGTCATTATTATTTATGGCAAAAAATCTTAGATGTCTGTACCTACATCGTTTAAATACTTCCAGAGTGCATGATAGTTGTTAAAAGTAATAGAATATTAACTTATGTAATTATAGAGACAGTGAGGTATAAATATAAAAAGGAAGAAACATATTCTGAATAATGCTAAGATAATCATACCTCTTGAGAATGGTTCACTGCTCAAAGAATTTCTTTTAAGAGGTGCAGAATGAGCAGCAGCTTCTAATGCATTTTTTCTTGCATTCACTAATTTATCTTCACGATTAATCAAAAACTGACGAGCTTGCTCTACTAATACATCTACGTTATTATACTGTGACAGAAACTGGTCTATTTTATGTTTCAATGACGCAAGTACCTACATAAAAGGATATTTTATTATAAAATTTCTAATACTTTACAAGATACTTTTATAATCAGCATATTTGTATAATTACAAACCTGAAAAAGTGATCTAATACTAGGTTGAAACACCAAAGAATGATTCAAGAGAAACGACTGTAACAATGGCTGAGGATATATCGCTAGTCTACTGATAAGACCAGTTAAATGTAGATTAACGTATAAATTGTTACTTGTCATACATTCCAACTTTCGTAAAAGAACATCCAAAAATATACCGACGTTTGGTTGTCTATTAAATACATCCTGACGATAGTTCTCTTTAGTTTGTTTATTCGCTGTTAATTCTTCTGGCGTCACTGAACTTGATTCTATAATGCTATGAAGAAATATACCTTGTTCTTTATTTGATTCGGCTTCTATTTCTTCGTGTTCACTTATTCGATCTTCACTAGGTTCATTGTCTGGTGTAGACTCTGAAGAACCTTTAAATGCAAAGCTTTCATAGCCGCTACTTTCTCCTAATGATAAAAGAGAGTTCATAGCAGTATTTGAATCATCAATGCCACTATCAAATTCTTTTTTATCTATTAATAATGTTTCCTTAGCCAATTCTGATATTCCAATATTTTCGCTTAACAATTCAGCAATATCTGCATCTAGTTTTGCTTGCTCTTCTAATGATAATTCTATTCCTGCTGTTTTTAGAGATTCTGGTTTTACATCTTTCTCTGTTACGTTTAAGTCTTTCTTATCCAACAGAGATTGA